GGACGGGCTGGGCTGCATCCCAAATCGAGAGTTTGTAAAGGACAAAACAATCAATGCCAGTGTGAACGGGACTGGTCTGCATCCCGAATGGAGAGTTTATAAAGGACAAACAATACCGAAAGGGACTGGTTTGCATCCCGAATGGAGAGTTTATAAAGGACAAACAATACCGAAAGGGACTGGTTTGCATCCCGAATGGAGAGTTTGTAAAGCACAAAACAATGAATTCCCTGTGAACGGGACGGGATGCGGACCATCCCGAATGGAGAGTTTGTAAAGGACAAAACAATGCCAATGTGAGGGATTGGTCTGCATCCCTAACGGAGAGTTTATAAAGCACAAACAATGAATTCCCTGTGAACGGGACTGGTCCCCTCAGTGTCCCCTCACTGTCCCCTCAGTGTCCCCTCGCTGTCCCTTCAGTGTCCCCTCACTGTCCCCTCAATGTCCCCTCAGTGTCCCCTCCCTGTCCCCTCAGTGTCCCCTCGCTGTCCCCTCAGTGTCCCCTCAATGTCCCCTCAGTGTCCCCTCGCTGTCCCCTCACTGTCCCCTCAGGGTCCCCTCAATGTCCCCTCGCTGTCCCCTCAGTGTCCCCTCAGGGTCCCCTCAGTATCCCCTCAGTATCCCCTCAGTGTCCCCTCAGTGTCCCCATTCTGTCCCCTCAGTGTCCCCTCGCTGTCCCCTCAGTGTCCCCTCAGTGTCCTCTCAGTGTCCCCTCAATGTCCCCTCAGTGTCCCCTCGCTGTCCCCTCAGTATCCCCTCAATGTCCCCTCAGTGTCCCCTCAGTGTCCCCTCAGTGTCCTCTCAGTGTCCTCTCAGTATCCCCTCAGTGTCCCCTCAGTGTCCCCTCGCTGTCCCCTCGCTGTCCCCTCAGTGTCCTCTCACTGTCCCCTCAGTGTCCCCTCGCTGTCCCCTCAGTATCCCCTCAATGTCCCCTCAGTGTCTGCTCAGTGTCCCCTCAATGTCCCCTCAGTGTCCCCTCGCTGTCCCCTCGGTGCCGTTCCCCCGGCGGAACTGGCGGTGCGGGGGCGGTGCCCGGCCCGGACGGACGCTGTGCCGAACGGCGCGCTGCGCTGCGATTGGCGGGCCGGGGCCGTGGCGCGCTGTGATTGGCTGCGGGCGGTGCTCCCTCCCCGGTGCTCCGGCCATGGCGGCGCGGGGCCGCTGTCCCGAGTGCGGCTCGGCGGCGCTGGTGGAGGACGCGCTGTACGCGCAGCAGCAGCTGGTGTGCGCTGCCTGCGGCTGTGTGCTGGCCGAGGGGCTGCTCACCACCACCTACAGCGACGAGGAGCATCTGCGGGGTGCGGGGGATGGGGCGGGACCGACCGCGCCGGGCCCGTTTGGGCCTCTCGGAGCCGGTCCGGGCAGGGAAGCGCTCCCCGAGCTCTCCCCGAGCTGTGTCCCGGTGTCCCCCCGTGCGCGGGGCTGTCCCGGGGCCGTGCTGGGGTCAGAGCGATCCAACATTGTCCCCAAACACAGCAGGGTTTGCCACCGTGGGGACACGGTTTGGGTTTGGAGCCGCGCTTTAAAGTGTGGGATCTCTTCCTGTGAAAAGAGATTATTGGAATCTCATTTAAATATCTTTAAAGAGCTTTCAGTGCAGGGTTATTGCCTGGCTCTGTCTGTGGGGAATCCACGGCTCGGAGATCCCCCAGCTCACGGTGCTGCTGTAGCTCAGTGCCCTCCAACATTCTGATTGTTGGATCCAGTTCCGTGGGCGTGTGCCTGTCCCAAATATCCCCTGGATTCCCTGCACGATTGTCTGACTCTGCCCTGTTTTCCAGAGGTCGCCTATTCCCAGAGCACCGGGCAGAAGGAGCAGCAGAGCCGCTGCCTGCAGCGAGGTAAGAGCAGTTCCTGCACACCCGCATCCCCTCTGGCTGCTGATCCAGTTTGTTTAACCTGGTTCTAATGGTAAAAAAAATATTAAAAAGCTTTAGAGCTGCTGGCAAAGCTGGGGATGGCAGTGGTGCTGTGTCCTGGCAGTGCCTTCAGTGCCATTTGTGGGGTGCAGGGTGCTGGGTGCCCCTGTGCCCGTGCCAGGGCTGGGTGAATCCTGCCAGGATTCCGAGGAGAAACTGCTCAGTGCAAAGTCTGAGGGCAGCAATTCCCGCAGGGATCCGGCGCGTCCAGGACCTSTGCAAAGTGCTGCAGCTGCCGGCAGCGTTTGAGGAGACGGCCGTGTCCTATTTCCAGCGGGCTCTGCAGCTCCCYGCCTTCCACCTGGTCAGTCTGGACAAGAAGGAGCTGCTGGGGGGCTGCTGCGTGCTGGTGACGTGCCGCCAGCACAACTGGCCCCTGACCATGGGCACGGTGTGCTCGCTGCTCTACGCCAGGCAGGAGCTGTTTGCCAGCGTCTTCCTGAGCCTGCAGAAGGAGCTGGGGCTGTCTGTGCCCGCCCTGAGCCTGGCAGACCTGGTGACAACGCACCTCAGCAGGTGAGGGGGATCCTTTGTGGTGTTTGTTTGGCTCTGGAGAGGCTGAAGTGGCTGTGGCAGCACTGAGCTGTCACACAGATGGGTGTGCTCAGCCTGGGCTGGCATTTGTCCCTTCCGTGTCACATCTGGGCTGTGACTCTCATCCTTCCCCGTTCTCAGTTTGGAGAGGTGCTCAGGGAGCCCATGAATCACAGAACCCCAAAGCCACTGGGGCTGGAAAAGATCTTGGAGGCCCAGCAGTGCCTGATGCCCCACCTTGTCACCCAGCCCAGAGCACTGAGTGTTGTTCCTTGGACACCTCCAGGGATGGGGACACCACCACCCCCTGAGCAGCAATTCCAGTGTCTGATGAGCCTTTCTAAA